CCATTGGCCCTGGACGACCTCCGGCGAGGTTTATCCAGACGGAGGAAGGGAGATGAATCCGAGGAGGACTCAACCCAATCTACACGACGCCCAGGAAACGAGGGGCTTACCGACGAACCCAGAGACTTCAGGAGGCATCCCGTAAGGGAAGAAGTAGATCTCAGAGCCCGATTGGACTCCAGAAGAAAGGGTAAGACGATCCAGGACGAGGCCGAGGACGAAGTCATGCAAACACCCTTCACGAGGGAAATCAGTGAGATGGATGTCTCAAGAAAGTTCGTCGTGCCACGGTTCAAGACCTATGATGGGCGATCTGATCCCGATGCCCATATCAGACAATATAAGCAGATGATGTCCCTCTATCATTCGGACCAACGGTTTCTATGCCGGGTGTTCCCTATGAGCTTGGGGGACTCTGCGATGAGGTGGTTCGAGGCGCTTCCCCCAAACAGTATTGGGTCCTGGAAAGAATTGACGAGGCAGTTCCTAACCCGATTCATCACGGGGAGTAAGCGCCCCAAGGACATTGGATCACTGCTGACCCTCAGGAGGAGGGAATCCGAGACTCTTCGCCAGTACGCCATCCGATACTGGGAAGAAGTCAATGAGGTCGAGGGATGCTCGGAGGTCATGGCAGCAGCATCATTCCGGCTCGGCTTGGCGAGGGACACGGACCTGTACCGATCCCTGACCAAAAAGACTCCCTCGGATATGGGGGAACTGATGGCCCGGATCAACAAGTACTCAAGGGTCGAGGACGAGATGGGGAGCAACAAAGGCCGAGCCCTCCAACCCAAGAGAAAGGAAAAAGAGCACGAAGATATTCCCCGGAAGGGATTGCTACCCCGTCCAGGGGGTTCGTCCAGAGGAGTTCACACCGTCTTCAAGGAACCCATCTTCAGGTTGCTCCATAAAATCAAACACGAGCCGTTCTTCAAATGGCCGCCCAGGATGCAAAGCGACCCCTCCACCCGTGATCAAAAAGTAAGGTGTTCATATCACCGGGATGTCGGGCATCGCACCGAGAGCTGCAGGGTGTTCAAGTCATTCTTGGAGAGCTTAGTCCGAGATGGATACCTGAAAGAATACATAGAGCCTAGGCCAGAAGAAAAACGAGCCCCTGCCCCAACCGAGGAACCGAACAACGTCATAGACGTCATCCATGTGTGTCCACTGGAGCGCCCCACGTCCAAAGAGCTCGAATCCGACCTCAAGAGGGTAGCTTTTACCAGAAAGGTAGCCGAAGGAGGTGTGGGGCCATCAAGTAAAAGGGCCAGGATGGGTGAACTTGGCATTACGTTCTCTGACACGGATTTGACGGGCGTGGTGATTCCTCATAACGACGCCCTTGTCTTAACCCTAAAGATAGGGAAATTCGATGTCAAGAGAATCTTGATAGATTCAGGGAGTTCCTCGGAGGTGATGTACTTCGAGACTTTGAAGCGGATGGGCTTTGGCCCCAAAGACTTAACCAAAATCAGGACACCCCTCATCGGGTTCAACGGCTCTTTCGCCTTGCCCGTGGGGAAAATTACATTACCGGTCGCCACTGGTCCCTTCGTCATCGACACAGAGTTTGTGGTGATCGACACGGACTCCCCTTACAACGTGATTATGGGGCGAACATGGCTACACGCGTTGGGAGCGGTACACTCCACTCTCCACCAGAAGTTGAAGTTCGCCACGCCAGAGGGCGTCATGGAGATCCGGGGGGATCAAGCGTCTGCGAAGAACTGTTTTTATTCGGCCGTCCGAGCCGGGGCGTCCAGCCAGGAGAAGGGGCGAGCACCGGAAGAGATCATAGAAAAATAGCAATTACAGTCCGGGCGTCCGGGGATGGATGACCCCCGGGTAGACCCAGCGGAACGGTCGGTTGAAGACCTCCGGAAGGTGCCCTTGGTAGAAGGAGAAGAAGAGAAGTATTTCCTAGTTGGGACCTCGATGCCCGCAGCCGAACAGGAGGAGATGATCAGGTTCTTAAGAGGGAATACAGACGTGTTCGCCTGGAACGAAATGGAAATGACAGGAGTAGACCCCGAGATAATTACTCACAGGCTGCATGTTGACCCATCTCACAAGCCAGTAAAGCAGAGGCCACGACGTATGGCCCCGCATCACACCAACGCGGTCAATGAGGAAATAGACAAACTCCTAAGAGCCGACGCCATTCGAGAGATACAGTTCCCAGAATGGCTGTCCAATACAGTATGTGCAAAAAAGAAAGGGGGGAAATGGCGTGTCTGCGTGGATTTCACAGATCTAAACAAGGCATGTCCCAAGGACGACTACCCCCTGCCGAAGGTGGACCAGCTGGTAGATGCCACAGCCGGATATGAACGAATGGACTTCCTGGATGCTCGAGCAGGATATCATCAGATCCCTCTTTATGCCCCGGACCAAGAAAAAACGGCATTTATCACTCCGAAGGGAGTTTATTGTTATAAAGTGATGCCATTTGGATTGAAGAACGCCGGGGCAACATACCAAAGATTGATGAATCGGATGTTCAAGAGGCAGATCGGCAACACCATGGAGGTCTACATAGACGACATGCTGGTAAAAAGCAAACGGAGTGGTGATCATCTTACAGACTTGGCGGATACCTTCTCCACTCTCAGGGAGTATGGGTTGAAGCTGAATGCAGCGAAGTGCGTCTTCGGAGTGGAGTCGGGAAAATTCCTCGGGTATCTGGTTAGTCAGCGGGGAATCGAAGCCAACCCAGATCAGATTAAAGCAATCCTGGATATCCGAAGCCCTCGCACTGTCCGAGAAGTCCAGAAACTCACAGGGATGCTGGCTGCACTTAACCGATTTGTCTCACGCTCCTCGGATAAATGCAAACCCTTCTTTGGAGCAATCAAATGTGCTGGGAAGAGTATGTGGAGCCAGGGGTGCGAGGACGCCCTGGCTGGGATCAAAGAATACCTGAGGACTCTTCCGACCCTATCCGTCCCCATCCAGGGGGAGATGCTGTTCCTATACCTGGCAGTTTCAGAATTTGCAGTAAGCGGAGTACTTATCCGTGAGCATGAGCACCGACAGAAGCCGATTTACTACATCAGCAAGGCGCTCCAGGATGCAGAGACAAGATATCTGCCCCTAGAGAAACTGGCCCTGTCCTTGGTCACCACTGCAAGGAAACTGCGCCATTACTTCCAGGCNCCTAGGGCGTAACATTAAAAGGGATGTGACAGCTCATTAATGACTCTTGCGTGTCTATAGCAAAGCCATTAATGAGTGTCTAAATCTTCGAAAGATGTGAAGATAGTCTTCATTACAAGGCATTAATGATCATTATGCCGATTTGAAGTCTTTGGTAAACCCAAGGGTGCTTGTTCCTGAGTAGTAAATACTCAAGCATAGGTGTCAAGCACCGAGTGGGGGTATTTAATGACCGAAGGATGGGCCGAAATGCTCAATTATTTCCAAGCAAAAGTTCACATGCCTAAGGAGACTAGTCATTAGATATTTGATGGAATGTCGCTCATGATGCTAGGATATGAGTGCAGACCATTAAATCCTGAAATGTGACTTAAGGGCATTGTCATCATTGCAAACCTATGTATAAATACCCTTAAAGAAGTTAGACCAAATAATGCAATTCGAATAAAAAAGTACATTGTGCTAATTATTTTTATGCCAATTGACTTGAGCTACTGACTTGAATTTCGGAGGGGATCACCCAAGTACACACCTCGCCTGTTTTTTCTAATCCTTTGTTTCAGGTTCAATGTCATTCAGGACCGTTCTGTGTATTGTTATCTCAACTAATTGCAGCAAATCACACATGTAACTTATTTTTTGTCGACAATATTCATTAAAATAACTATTTTTTATCTACAATTAGACACATCTTTTAATTGTCCGATCAAATTAAAGTTACATACAAATAACACAATTATAGACAAAAAATAGTTATTTAGCAAGTATTATAGACAAAAATTTGGTATTTTTTAATTTTTAAAAAATATTAAATAGTATTATATGAATTGTCATAAATGTGAAATATAAGATATAATACAGTTGACTCAACGCGAAAATTTTTTTTGTTAAAATTATTTTGTTATTAACTCGAACACGACACGAAAAATATTATAATACAATTGAGAGCTATTTTAACGAGCATTGATGGATGAAATTTTTTTTAGATCATAAATATGAAATATTTAAATTTTAAGAGGTGCAATTTATAATTAATTCAAACTTTTTTGATGTCAAAATAAATGGCAGTTAGTCTCAAGTGCACATTGATACATATTTAATCTTTTAGGATATAAATTAATATTTTTAAACTTTGAAGGTATAAATTGATATTCGAATAATCTTTCATAGTGCAAATTAAGATTATTTCAAATAAAAAAAACTACAATTTGAACGAATTATTAGGTTTCTTGATGGGCAGAAAACTTCCAGACCGATGTTTTTAGAACCTTCTATTGCCTTATCAAAACCGAGCAAAATATTTTAAAGCCTTCGACCGCTTAAAACTCATAAATCTATCATCCAAACTAATGGTCTAGTGATCAATCGTACCGGTTTAAGTTCCTCTCTGACTCTCGTGTGGTTATGAAGTAGAGTTTGATTCATAGGATTAATGCGATTTGTTGATTGACTTTGGCGCTGTTGCGGTGAAAGGTTGACCTTTCGGGCTCAAGTTAGACATTCTACAGTGGGTAAGCTCAGAGTCACGTGTAGGAGTTATTACCTAATGTTCATCCTTCCTTTTTTTTCCAAGCAAACAACTCGTAGAAATCCTGATAAATTTTTTATATTTGTGCTGAAAAAACCAGTGAGAAGAACGGAGAGTGGGGCAAATAAAGTGGTGGAATGCCTATAATTGGATGTTTACCCAGCACAAATACAAGAGGAAAGAATTGGGTCTTTTTAATGTTAAGGAATAGCCTCTTTTAATGTTAATAGATTTTTTCTGCTTCTAAATTTAGACACAAAGTCAAAGAAACGAGATGCAGTTTTTCAGATACGTGGCACGAAAACTAACATTATACCTCTTCGTAGTCAATCGTTAGACTGCCAGTAATGTTGGTGCATATGGTGGTAACCGATCCAATTGCATCACAGACTGAAGGTCTCCTCAGTACAACGTTATCATCGTTCAACATTCTCTTCATTGAATAAGCAAGAGTAATCTTGACAGCCAACAACAGACCTTCTGGAGCTGAGGTTGCTGCAACCATGGCTGGAGTAGCTACAATTCCCACTAAAGCTTTCAAAACATCAACGATGGGTGCTCCCCTCTTAAGAAGACACAAATCTAATTAAAACTGACAGAAGCTTAGCTATTAACGATTATAAATGGGTTACACAAAAATTAAACAAATTTCAACACGACCAACACGTGTTTAATGACAGCCTTACCTGTAATGAGCACCCTCTTAAGAAGAGTCCGTCAGCAAGAACTTGGTCTCCAGGCTTCAAGACGACTATGTCCCCAACCACAATGCTGGGTAATGATATCCGCAGCCTCTGACTGCTTCTCACAACATCAACCTGAGGGATATGACTTCTAGCTTCAGATAACTTGTGACACAATCTATGTGGCCAAAAGTTACTTACAGCAGAGACCGTCACAATTATAAGAATTGCAACAAGTTTGGATACTCCTCCATACCATCCTTCTATCGGGCCATGTTCTTTAATGTCGAAACAAAGAGAGAGCACAGCACAAACAAGTAGGATAACAATCATGGGATGTTTAAGCGCTTCCAATCCAAAATGGTAGAATTTCTTTGCAGGTTTGTCCTCTCCATAGAAATTGGAACCAAAGACTCTGCATCGGTTGTTAATGTCTGTGCTATTGCCTTGGATCCCGTTCTCTGCATGAGTTTCCAGAGCTGAAACTAACCCTTCAACTCCACCCTGCTCGCTAAGCCACCTCAGGTCTTTCGTCTCCACAAGCTTGGCGATGCTTGATGGGTCGATTGTGGAGAAGAGAGGTGGTTCGATGGTCAATGTCGTAGAATCACAAAGCATGTCCAATTGGGTCCGAGTTGGCCTGTTCGGGGTGCAAACAAAGATTGACGGACAGTTGCTGGACATGGATTTGAGGAGAAAAAAAGAGCAACACAAGGAAGGTAACTAGGTTCTGTGTGGATATTTGTTCCTACAACGTCGGTGGAAAACACATACCACGAATATGCAAGAAGAGAAACACCGCCAAACTTGAATGAACACAGTGAAAAGAAAGGGATACAAGTGGGGTGGAGACTCGAGAGCAACGAGAGTGTTCCTGTTCGGGCGCGTTATATAGAGAGAGAGAGAGGGGATTCTTTATTTCATGGAATAATTTTTTCTTCTCTCCTTTCTCCGAATAAAAATTAAACAAAAAATTGATTTTTTTTCTTGTTTTTATGTTAGAAAAGATAAAAAAGTTAAAGGATAAAAAAATTATAAACTAATATTTTATTATATATATAATTAATATATACATAATATTTAATAAATAAATAAGATATATGCATATATTGAATTAAAAGATATAAAAATAAATAATATATTCTTTAACATACATTCTTATCCTTCCGTTCACTTTACCTCTAAATTTTGATGAGAAAGGTTTTGATGAGTTGAAAATAAGATTTATTCATCTACTTTTATGTCATTCCCCACTAATAGAAATGAGAGATGACGATCCACACATTCCCCACCAATAGAAGTGAGACGGAAGGAGGCTTGGCTTGGGGTGTCACTGTCTTTCGGCTGGGGGAGGAGAATGTCTTTGGGCCTGACTTTGGGGGTGTTTGTTGTTTGTTTCTGTCCATGTCTTTCGGCTGGGGGAGGAGAATGTCTTTGGGCCTGACTTTGGGGGTGTTTGTTGTTTGCTTCTGCCACTGTCTTTCGGCTTCTTGTTTGTTTCTGTCACTGTCTTTTGGCTTGGGAGGAGACTTTTTCAACCTCAAGGCGAGAAATTCAGCTAATACCCCCATTAGACTATTCTACTCGGTGGTGAGCTACTAATTTGGTCTAAAATGATGGTCAAACTAGTATCGCTAAATACAATTAGCTCTGTACGTGAATACAATTAGACTACGGTGCGTTGTACGTGAATATATTTAAATAATAATTTTTATAAAATAATTAATTTATATTTGCAATTTATTTGAATAATAAATTGTGTGTCAAATAATTAAATTTTATGTTAATCATTAGTAAACCTAATTATTAATCTACTCTACTCTTATTTGAGTACTTAATTTATCAATTTTTAGGCATCTTTCCCAACTTCTTTAAATATTTTCTCTTTTGTTTATTGTGAAGTTTTATTTTTTACAATTGTTATTCTTGAGTATTTTTATATCTTAATATATTATTATATTTTATTGTTAAAGAAATTGATAAAATTATAAACTATTGTCTGTATCATAATATTATGATATTGTTACATATAAAAAAAAATTAAAAGTGACATACATTTGAGAAGTCAAATAAATGAGTTCAAAAGAATTTAAAAGTCAAATACTACTAATAAAAGAATTTAAAATAATTTAAAAGTCTAATAGCTAAAGAAAACATTAAAAAATGGATGAAAACAAATATATGGATATAATTAATTTTATAATAATAATTAATGATAAAATAGAAAATTCAATTTTTTTCACAAATACTAACATTTATTTGCACGTGAACATATTTAAAAAATAATGAAGAGTAATATTATTGAGATCTAATTTATCAACTTAATTAGTTATCATCAAATATTAGAATTTAGTATTAATTCAACAATTATAATGAAATCATGTCAACAAATTAAGTCATATTTTTAAATTTAAATAAATTAAATTTATTTATTGATTATTCATATTAACATGTCTCACTTTATTTATCTGCATGTCTAGAGATATAATCACTTATAACCCACAAATATTATGTCGATTTCAAATCGCATTTAATTAATATGTCAAAAATTATCACTCTTATCTTTATTTGCACTTCTCGTAATCTCAAACACGCAACACCCATTAGATTAATATGTGGAATGGAAATTGAAACAAATGCACTATGTTAGAAAAAAAAACAAGAGACGTGTTGGAGATGTGGAGTTTTCACAAAAATTTTACTTCGGGGATGTTTTGCGCAATGATTGATTAGTGCTCACATGGAGGTAAAAATTTAATATTTTATTTTGTACTATAGAAAAAATGAAAAGCTACGAGCTCCATCAAATATTGAAATTTGTTCTTAATCTAATTATTCTAATAAAATCACATTATTATGTCAGATTTTTATGTTTAAATATAACATTACTCATTATATTTATCTATTACATATTATGTACACATATTAATTTTATGAGCAATGTTATACAAATTTAAAAATCTGACCGAATGATGTGACTATTATATTTATTATTGATTTAACTGTGAATCCTAGTATTTATTGGCATTCATTGCCTATTTAATGTTAGTGTTTTATCAAGTCAAGTTTTTATGTCAGTTTTTTAAATCTATTTAACATTTTTCTAATTTCATATGTTGATACAATAATAAAATATACATCTATACTATTTTTATCCTATCAACAAAACAAAAATCAATTATTCTTACTTTTCATCCCTCTTAAAAAACACAAGGAGAGAAAAAAGTATTCCTCCCTTGATGAATAAAAAATGTATCACTCCCATTTTTCCTCACTTTTATTTTTTTATCCATCTTACCAAACACACCAAAGATAAAAAGTAAATAAATAAGATACAAAAATATCTACATTCACAGATCCATAAGCTAACTGATTAAAGCATACCCAATCATATATACAATTTATAATATAAAACATGATATACTTCAATAAGTTTATTCGATACTCTTAAATAGACTCATGCAACGGTCATCAACATTACTCTTAAAACTATTTACATTGAATTTTTTCTCCCTCAAATCTATCGCTTCTTATATAAGTTGCATTGTACCTTCAAATATAAATTATCCTTAATATAAATACAAATTAAAAAGAAAAATGTGCATCGTCACATAATATTATTATTTAATAATATATTTATAAATAGGTAAATAGAATCTATAATAATCATTCTTGCATGTAATACAAGAATCTAAACTTGGCGGGCGTTCTAGGGGTGCAATACAAAAAACCCACAAAGGAATCTGAAAAACGAAGAACATGGTTGTTGTAACTGCATTGCTCTTTAAAAACAACTGAGAGTTCGAAAATCTAGTCAAAGATGGCGGGCGTTCTACGGGTGCAATACAAAAACCCCACAAAAGAATCCGAAAAACGAAGAACCAGGTTGTTCTAACTGCTATTGTTCTTTAAAAACAGCTGAGAGTTTGAAAAACACGAAAACCACNGCTTCTGCCACTGTCTTTCGGCTTCTTGTTTGTTTCTGTCACTGTCTTTTGGCTTGGGAGGAGACTTTTTCAACCTCAAGGCGAGAAATTCAGCTAATACCCCCATTAGACTATTCTACTCGGTGGTGAGCTACTAATTTGGTCTAAAATGATGGTCAAACTAGTATCGCTAAATACAATTAGCTCTGTACGTGAATACAATTAGACTATGGTGCGTTGTACGTGAATATATTTAAATAATAATTTTTATAAAATAATTAATTTATATTTGCAATTTATTTGAATAATAAATTGTGTGTCAAATAATTAAATTTTATGTTAATCATTAGTAAACCTAATTATTAATCTACTCTACTCTTATTTGAGTACTTAATTTATCAATTTTTAGGCATCTTTCCCAACTTCTTTAAATATTTTCTCTTTTGTTTATTGTGAAGTTTTATTTTTTACAATTGTTATTCTTGAGTATTTTTATATCTTAATATATTATTATATTTTATTGTTAAAGAAATTGATAAAATTATAAACTATTGTCTGTATCATAATATTATGATATTGTTACATATAAAAAAAAATTAAAAGTGACATACATTTGAGAAGTCAAATAAATGAGTTCAAAAGAATTTAAAAGTCAAATACTACTAATAAAAGAATTTAAAATAATTTAAAAGTCTAATAGCTAAAGAAAACATTAAAAAATGGATGAAAACAAATATATGGATATAATTAATTTTATAATAATAATTAATGATAAAATAGAAAATTCAATTTTTTTCACAAATACTAACATTTATTTGCACGTGAACATATTTAAAAAATAATGAAGAGTAATATTATTGAGATCTAATTTATCAACTTAATTAGTTATCATCAAATATTAGAATTTAGTATTAATTCAACAATTATAATGAAATCATGTCATTAAATTAAGTTATTTTTTAAAATTTTAATAAATTAAATTTATTTATTGATTATTCATATTAACATGTCTCACTTTATTTATCTGCATGTCTAGAGATATAATCACTTATAACCCACAAATATTATGTCGATTTCAAATCGCATTTAATTAATATGTCAAAAATTATCACTCTTATCTTTATTTGCACTTCTCGTAATCTCAAACACGCAACACCCATTAGATTAATATGTGGAATGGAAATTGAAACAAATGCACTATGTTAGAAAAAAAAACAAGAGACGTGTTGGAGATGTGGAGTTTTCACAAAAATTTTACTTCGGGGATGTTTTGCGCAATGATTGATTAGTGCTCACATGGAGGTAAAAATTTAATATTTTATTTTGTACTATAGAAAAAATGAAAAGCTACGAGCTCCATCAAATATTGAAATTTGTTCTTAATCTAATTATTCTAATAAAATCACATCATTAGGTCAGATTTTTATGTTTAAATATAACATTACTCATTATATTTATCTATTACATATTATGTACACATTAATTTTATGAGCAATGTTATACAAATTTAAAAATCTGACCGAATGATGTGACTATTATATTTATTATTGATTTAACTGCGAGTCCTAGTATTTATTGGCATTCATTGCCTATTTAATGTTAGTGTTTTATCGATTCAAGTTTTTATATCAATTTTTTAAATCTATTTAACATTTTTCTAATTCATATGTTGATACAATAATAAAATATACATATATACTATTTTTATCCTATCAACAAAAAAAAAATCAATTATTCTTACTTTTCATCCCTCCTAAA